TTGTTACACACCAGAGATCAACCAATTACAGTATCTGTATCAGCCTTAGAAGCTCTTTCTACTTCACTGGCGCCATGGAAAATGTTCTGATCTGTACCATGTTCCGCATTGTGATTTCTAAAGAAGATATTGAGCTACATATAGAGGTTTACAACACTTTCTCTGCTGAACTGCCCTTATTTAGCAGGCCATTTGTTCTCAAATATTTCATAGTTTTTCCTCTTATATAACTTGCTAGTGGGTATGTGTCATTATCTTCAAACAAGAGAAGTTGATTTGCATTGGGAAGAAGCTAAATCTAACCCCACTGGCAGCTATATCTGCTGAATGATATATCTGCTGAAGATTTTAATAGGCAGCACTAGATTAATTGACTTACTGGGATTTTTTTTTTTTATTTGCAGTACAACATACAATTGTAGATGTAATTATCGAGATGCAACACTCACCAAACCCACACAGCACTTGTCTTTTGCTTTATGAAGATGAATACAAACAAAATTTTTGAGGACTGTGGGTGGGTGGAACGCTTGGTTTTGCCTTCTCACTCATTACTACATTCATTTGGGCAACTTCAACAGTATCCATGTCTGTGTGATATAAAATACAAATCTTTCAAAGAGCAAGAAGAATGTAATGAGAATAAAGAGGGTCTGCTTTAGTAGTCAGGGTTGCTTCAACATTTGGATAAAGTTGAGATTGGTGATCAGAAAAATGTCACTGCATGAATGCTGATATATGGAAATACTGTAATTGATTCAGAATTACTTATAGTGGCATTTCAGCTGTATTGCATAGTCAGTGATTCAGTGATCAGTATGCTCTGATGAAGGTCAGATAGGCTGAAAGCTTGCTAAATAAAGTGATATATTGCATGAAGTGTGCGAAATTCTTCACTTTCAGTAAGGTCAGTGATTTTGAATAAAGTCTACATATTTACATAGTCTCAGATAGGGCTACTTAGCCTGTGAAAACAGTTGGATAATGTCTTCTGTAACTAAAAATGAGCTCAGTCAAGTCTGAGAAAACTAGTCAAGTGGCTTGGCTTGAGCCTAACAGCAAGCATGCATTACAAACTTGGGACATTGAATTAACTATAGCAAGATATAAAAGTGGACAAATAAAAATCTTTTTTCATCAAAATGGAGCCTAACAAGTTGTCAGGTAAAAAATTGCAACAAAGAAATATCTAGTTTAACCTTGATACCATGCATAAAAACCACAATGAGCTGGCTTTAATCCAACTCAGTGGTTGAAGTAAATGTTTAAATCCTCGTTTTTCGAGCCAATAAAATGACACTGTATCACTATTTTATCTGTATTTGGCCATTCATCATAAGAGGAGAGGTGATGATCAGTGCTGAAGGCCATACTGTGCACTGCTTTGATGTGCAGAAGAATTCACACAATAGATGAATATGTGCGGGGAAAAAGATATAACCGTATAAATGTTGTATGGCTTCCATGTTTGTTTGTTTATTAAACTCCCTATTAGCTTCTGCATAACAGCCGCTATTCTACCTAGGGTCCACAGAGTTTACATGGTGACAACACAATACACATACTCACATTACTCATCACAATACACTGAGCCGTGCTAAGGGGGGAAAAATAAAAACAAAAGGGCCAAAAAACCCCCCCAAGTTTTAAAAAAGGCCCAGAACCCTTTAAAAACCCAAAAAAAAAAAAATAAAAAAAAATTTTTTTTTTTTTGGGGGGAAAAAAAAAAAAATATTTTTTTTAAAAAAAAAAAAAAAAAAAAAAAAAAAAAAAAAAAAAAATATAATAAAAAAAAAAAAAAAACAACTAAAAGCTCTACCTTCAAATAAACTAAACAAAGAACACAAACAACTAAAACCCAGCTAAAATAATGTGGCACGGATGGAGTGGGAGGTCAACAACGGCAGTCGCGGGTCTCTGGGGGCGACCACCTCCTCTTCCCCCCCCCCCCCTCTTCCCCCGCCTTTCGGGGTGGAGGAAACTCAGGGCCAGTCAATGTCCTTTAACAAGGCACAACTTTATATATTACACACTACACAAACACCGGTCTGAAACGGGACTTACGGCGGGGGGTTACCTTCTCCCAATTATAACCGCTAACGGTCGGTGTTTCCCCGGTTTTTCTTCAGACCTCTTCCAGTGCGATGATCTGCTCTGTCTCTCTGTCTGCTTCCTGCTGTCCGGCCCGTTGTGACCTCCGTGTCCTCCCTCGTGCCCTCTGTTCTCTCGTATCTTCCATAGTGTCCTTTTTATCCAAGAACAGTCACTCCCCTCTCTGGGTGCCAGGTGTAAGTCCTTATGCTTGATTAAGGTATGTCTCCGGTGGGGGAAGTAAAACCAACGTAACACAAACACACTTCAAAATAAAAGCATGCAATAATAAATAAGACAAAAACACAGCAAATTCAAAGTAAAAGCATGCTTAAATAAAATCAAACTTCCCCCGTGACATTTCCCCACACTTTAAAGTTAGCAGTCCCTGCAACATGTTATGAGTCTCTATAACGGACTGGAGTTTGTCCAATTAGTTTACCCTGGTGGAGCATCGTAGGGCACCCTCAGGTTCCACATTCACAAGGCGGTATGGCTACCGGTGCTGGAAGGAACCCGTAGATCATAGGCTGGATGGGTCCCTGCATCTGGACAACCGGCTCAGTGGTTGGTAGCGGGACTTCGGTTGGGGGAACTGTACACACCTTAAGTGAGTTCCTATGGATATTTTGTATTCTGCCACCCTTCTCTGGCTGAATCTTGTACACAACCCCTGTATCCCCCACCTGCTCCAACACCACCCATGGCTCTGGGTCCCACCAAGTACACAACTTTCCTGCCCCTCGTCTGTTCCTATCTCGCACCCACACCCTTTCCCCGGTAAAAGTGGTAACGCTTTGGCCCTCTTGTCATAGTGCTGCTTGTTCTGGGTGGCTGCACTCTCTATTCTTTGTTTAGCCAGGCTATAAGCTAAGGACAGTTTCTGCTGGTGGTCTTGTACCCACCCACCTACATCGTGCCTCATCTGTTGGGGACCTACACCTAATCCTACATCAACAGGAAGTCGCAGGTGTCGCCCAAACATGAGGAAGGAAGGGGTATACCCAGTCGCACTGTGTGTGGTGTTATTATAGGCGTGTGTCAGTTCGGGCAGATAGTCGGGCCAGTGAGATTGCTTAGACGTCTCTAAAGAGCGGAGCATATTTAACAAGGTCTGATTAAAACGCTCTGCACTGCCATTTCCTGCGGGATGGTAGGGAGTTGTGCGGCTTTTAGTTATACCATAGGTATCACAAAATTGTTTCATAAGTGCAGATTCGAAATTAGGTCCCTGGTCAGAATGGAACGGGCAGGGGAAACAAAAGGGGGGAAAAAAAAGGGCCAAAGAGGGCCTTAATATAATTAGCTGTTTGATCTCGAGTGGGAATAGCCCAAGAAAAAGGGGTAAACAGATCAGTAGCAACAAGAATGTTCTGGTAGGTGTCTGTGGGCCGACCTAAGGAAAAAAAACCAAACCCCCAACTTCTAAAGGGAAGAGAAAATTAAAAAGATTTAGGGGGCCTTATGTTCCACCCTGTCTCGCTGCAGGTTACAGGCAACACAACCCTGCTGCAACTGACGACCCCCCCCCCCCCTATAAAACAAAAAAAACCGCAGACGCACCCGGTTTGGGTTTTTCTCCCCCCCCCACAAAGGCGGGCTCCTTGATCCTCCTTCCACAAAACTTTTTTCTTAAAAAAAAAAAAAAAAAAAAAAAAAAAAAACTCTTGTGGGGGGGGAAAAAAATTTAAAAAAAAAAAATTTTTTTTTAATAAAAATAATTTTTTTTTTTAAAAAATAAAAGGGGCGGTAGAAAAAAAAAAGGGGGCTTTTGTTGGTCTCGTCGGTAATCATTTGAGGTTTCCACATACCTCTTAATGATTTGAAGGTCCGCATCACCAGCTTGTGCCTCCTCCCACTCTCTGCCTGTCCACTCCTCTTCACCTCCCTCAGGGGTCAGTTCAATGGCTGCCGTGACTGGAACGGTTTCCAGCTCAAGGTTTTCACATGAGGCATCTGCAGTCAGTGGGTTAATTGGAAACCGAGACAGGGCATCTGCATTTACATTACTTTTACCTGAGCGGTACTTGATGTCATAATCGAAGGAGGCAAGCTGTGCGACCCAGCGCTGTTCCACGGCACCCAGGCGAGCTGTCTGTAAGTGGGCCACAGGGTTATTGTCAGTGTACACCGTGAATCGGGCTCCAGTCAGATAGTCTTTAAATTTCTCGGTTACTGCCCACTTAAGAGCCAGGAGCTCTAGTTTGAAAGAGCTATAATTTGCATCATTCCGCTCTGTTGGGTGTAGGCTGCGACTGGCATAGGCTATCACTCGTTCTCGCCCTTGTTGGACCTGGGCCAAGACTGCTCCCAAACCATGATTACTGGCATCTGTGTAAACGAGGAATGGCAGGGAGTAATCAGCATATGCCAAAACAGGTGTTTGTGTTAAAGCTGCTTTCAGGTGATCAAAGGATGTCTGGCACTCTGAGGACCACTGTACCTTTCGGATTTGCGACTTTTTATCAGCAGGGATGCCTGTCAGCAGTTGGTTGAGGGGCGTGCAATCTTTGCAAAGCCAGAAACGAAGCGTCTGTAATAGCCAGCTAAGCCAAGGAAGGCTCGTACCTGTCTTACAGTGGTGGGGATGGGCCAGTCTTTTACGGCTGAGATTTTGTCTGGATCAGGACTCACCCCTTTTTGGTCCACCACATGGCCCAGGAATTTCACTTCCTTCTGCAGGAGTTTGCACTTATCCAGGCGCAGTTTCAAGCCATGCCGCCACAGTTTGTTAAACACCTCATCTAGCTGCTGTAGATGGGAGGAAAAGTCAGGTGAATAAATGATAATGTCATCCAAATAAACCAGTAAGGATTCTGACAATTGGCCCTTTAAAAATTTTTGGAACAAGAGGTTGAAAGGAAGGGGGGAATAAAAACAGGGGAGAGGGGCATACGCTCAAATTCATACAGCCCCAGCGGTGTGGTGAAGGCGGTCTTCTCCTGGTCTTGGGTGTCCATCTCAACTTGCCAATAGCCACTGGCTAAGTCAAGAGTAGAAAACCATTCTGCTCTGGTCAGACTGGTCAAGGTTTCTTCAATCCTGGGCAGGGGAAATGCATCTTTATGAGTTATTGCATTTAACTTCCTGTAATCCACACAGAATCTCCAACTGCCATCTTTTTTCTCACCAGTACTATGGGTGCCGCCCATGGGCTACAGCTCTCTTTAATGACACCTTGCTCCAGCATACCTGAGAGTAGGGATTTCATCTCTTTATACATGGCAGGGGAAGAGGTCGATGTCGTTCTCGGATAGGTGGTGCATCACCAGTATGGATGCGATGTTGTACCAGGTCTGTACGTCCGAAGTCCTCATTGTGCTGTGCAAACACCTTCTGCCATTTCAGCAGCAGGGCGCGCAGCTCCTCCTGTTGCTGCTCAGACAGATCAGGCCTGTTGGAGAGTTCACTCACCCCTATCGGCAGCTTCTGGTCCTCCTCGTCAACTGCAGCATTTACCAGTGTCACTCCAACAACACAATCACCTTCAAGGGACAGGTTAAGGTCGCAGGCTCCATGTACATCCGCTTCATCCACCCGGGACAGTTTGCCAAGCTTCTGGTACCGATCTAGCATCAAACAGTAGGGGTGTGGGTTAAAAACTCTCACAGGGACTCTGCCATTTCTTATCACTGCTAGGGTCCTGGCCACCCCTCACACTGCAAGTCTCAGGCAGCGCTTCAATTAGGGCACAGTAATCTTTTCCCCCAGGCTCATCCGAGCCCGACCCCACACCAGTACTTCACTCTTTGGGGGAATTTTGATGACCCGTCGGCTGGCTGGCCGCACGTACCCCAACATCCCGTCCTCTGTCATGGTAGCCTCAATGTGTCTGCATGTAGCAAATGCATCCCTCCAAACCCGCTGTCTCTGTAACGTCTGTGGGGGGGAACAGACCCTCTGGGACATTTAAAAAAAACAGTCCAACAAGCAGTAACAACATTCATTCCAATGATGAGTGGGTGTGTACAGTGTTCATCCTTCACAATCACAATTCCTCTTCCAGGTATCTTAGCACCCTCTAGCTCCAAATTTAAAACGCCAAAACCTTTTAAAAGAAAAATACCACTTGTCCCTTCTAAAAAAAAAAAAAAAAAAATTATTAAAAAAATATTAAAAGTAAAATTTTTGCTCAAAGAGGCTTTGCTGCATTAAGGTGACCTGGGACCCCCGGTCCAAAAACCCCCAAAAAAAAAACCCCTATAAATTTTTCTATAGTTGGACACCTTCCAATAAATGCTTCAGTGGGCCCGTTTTCTTCTGTTGTACTTTCAACCCCTGCCCCTCGGACCTCAGCAGCAGGGAAAGTTAGTTTAAAGCCTGCCGAGAAGTAGTTGGCCTCCTACAAAATCTAGCTATGTGGCCGGCTTGTCTGCATTGGCGGCAAATGGGCCTACCTTGCCCATCCAAGGGGTTCCTTTGGAAAACTGATCGTTGTCGCTCCCTATAGGGCTGTATTAGGGGCTGTGGTGCAATAACAGCTGGTTGAAGGAGCGGTTTAATCTCTCGCAACAGTTCCTGGGTCAGTCCGGTCCATCTGAGATTTCACCCTTCCAAAAACCCCTTTTTTGAGGGCCCCCCCCCCGGGGGGCCCTATGGAGGAGGGCACATTTGGTTTATACACAGAAGCACAGATTACCTCCGGTTGGGGGTTCCCATGTTCTGTATCAAGCAGCAGCGCCATCCTGTCTGAGTGCAGAAAAAGTTTCATCAGGGTTACGGCGGGCATAGACCTTCAGGGCCTGAGCCAGGGAACTTTCACGCAGCCCCAACAGCAGCTGGTCTCGCAGGACTGTGTCAGGGGAGTTCCATCAGGGTCATGTTGCCGCAACCTGCAATACAGCTCTCTTAGTCTTAGAATGAATGAGGGCACAGTCTCGTCTGGTCTTTGGACACAACTAAAAAACTGAGACCTTAACACTGGGGGCGGGGGTTCTGTCTCCATATAGAGAGTCCAAATACAGAAAGATTTTGCGTACTCTATCCCTTTCGTCATCCTCTAAAACACTGACCTGCCGTTTGGCTTCCCCAGCTAACGCACCCAACACAATGTCAATTTTTCTGGCCTCTGCTAGCTCTTGCGCTCCAAGTAAGCCCTGTATTTGCTCCTTCCAGTCATGATATTTCAGGTCACAATTTGGTCCTTTAAACTTTGGCAGCCAAGGGGCACCAGGATATACAGGCATCATCATATTCACTGTTTTAAAATACACCACACTGCTCTCTGTACCCGATCCTGCCGACAACGCCAAAATGTGAGCCGTGCTAAGGGTGGATAAATTAAAACACAAGTGCCGACAACGCCACCTAGGTTTAACTGAGGCCTAGGACCTCTTAGGATCACCAAATTAAAGTTAGGGTAAACAGGTTCTTTTATGTCGGGGGAGAGCAGTAAACAGTGTTATTTTTAAAACAATGAGTACAGCCAGTGGAACACAGTTGAACACAATTTATTTTAAAATAAGTAAAAACAACTAAAAGCTCTACCTTCAAATAAACTAAACAAAGAACACAAACAACTAAAACCCAGCTAAAATAATGTGGCACGGATGGAGTGGGAGGTCAACAACGGCAGTCGCGGGTCTCTGGTGGCGACCACCTGCTCTTCACCTGGCTCCGCTCTTCGGCAGCCTGTCGAGGGAAACTCAGGGCCAGTCAATGTCCTTTAACAAGGCACAACTTTATATATTACACACTACACAAACACCGGTCTGAAACGGGACTTACGCGGGAGGGAGAAGTTTTACCTTCTCCCAATTATAGCCGCTAACGGTCGGTGTTTGCTCCGGTGTCTCTTCAGACCTCTTCCAGTGCGATGATCTGCTCTGTCTCTCTGTCTGCTTCCTGCTGTCCGGCCCGTTGTGACCTCCGTGTCCTCCCTCGTGCCCTCTGTGTCCTCCCTCGTGCCCTCGGGTATCTTCCATAGTGTCCTTTTTATCCAAGAACAGTCACTCCCCTCTCTGGGTGCCAGGTGTAAGTCCTTATGCTTGATTAAGGTATGTCTCCGGTGGGGAAGTAAAACCAACGTAACACAAACACACTTCAAAATAAAAGCATGCAATAATAAATAAGACAAAAACACAGCAAATTCAAAGTAAAAGCATGCTTAAATAAAATCAAACTTCCCCCGTGACAAATACACTGGCACAACATAACATACCTCTACTGTAAATTAAACAATAACAACTGGAACAATGTAAAGACAAACACACAAAAAATAAGAATGAGAACAATAAATAAAAAAGACCGGCTCTGACTGAATATCATTTCACCTTGACTGCCCCATTGAACCCTCACACACCAAAGAGTACTCATTAATTATTAAGTAGTAATGCTCTTTTATCCAAAAAAAAACCCCATATACATTATTTTGTTATGTAATGTAAACAGTATTTACACATCAGCATAAACTTGTTAGCTCGGTTTTCGTCTCTACCCCTCCTATCTGGCTCTTTGGCTGCTAAATGCTATGCTCACCAGCTCAAAATGTTTTGTCTGTTGTTCGGTATTGGGCAGGTATTATACAGTGTTCCCTGCTCTAAGGAGCCTTTTTTAGCTAATTGCGTTGGTTTTCTGGGTCACAGCATTTAAAGCATAAAAGCTCTGATGAACAGAGTCTTGTGATAATTTTCTTTGTCACCACGAGCAGCCCTTTTCACATAACGCACAGTCTTGTGAGCCATTGTTAATATGAATATGTTGATTGGTAGTGCCTCTGGAAACCTAACACTAGGTCTTATGTGTAACAACGCGTGTAATTATCATAATTACAAAGCAGCAATTAGGAAAAGTTACATCCATAATGGCCTGATTGTAGTTCAGCTCGAGCAGGGGACACCAGCGAGCTGTTCAAACTGAGCCTCTGGTACAATCATGCCCACTTCAACTCAGTGGAGGTGCTGAGAACGTGATGCAGGTATTTTGTAAACACTCCCACATCGTGATTCTATATATCCTGACATTTAAATGCTGTAACTGTGCACCAGGCAGTGTGATATATCCATGCATCATTTAAGTGTGAATCAAATATCTCCCACATATTTTTCTTCCTTTGAGCCCAGCAGGGATCCCTCAGCCCAGTGATGGAGAAATCACGACCACAGTCTTTGCTCACTACATGCACTCATCACATCTTCTTAATTGATCAGTGACAGGTTGTTTCGTTGAATGCAAATTAACATTATCATTGTAGTATTCAACTAGAAACAACAATAAATGTATTTCTTTATTTGCCTGGCTTAATTGCCTATTAACTCGGGATTACTTTGTGTTTTTGTTAAATGATTTCACATGATAGTTAATCAGTTACAGTCCACAAATGCAACTCCTCCCCAACAACAGCCCATCAGCTAAACAAGCTTATATGAAGCGATGCAAACTAGGCCACCTCTAACGCTCTGCCGTGTTGCACACAATGCACAACTCCTGAGAAAGGAGAGCATTGATCTGCACTAAATCTGCGTGACTTTTCTATCCCCTCCCAATTCGGTGTGACAAACCCGCTGGAGCTGAACTAATGCTGTTAAAAAGCTGCACCAGCTGCCATGTGCTTTTGTCTGATGTGTTTTCTCGCTCGCTGCCTCCGCCGCAGAGCGGAGAGCAGAACTCTTGCAAAGTGAGTCAAAAAGCAGAAGAGCTAGATCTCACCAAGAAAAGGGCTCATCCGTCTCTTTTGTGACGCCATTTTTGAAATCTCACCTGTAGGAGCGAATCTATATTCCTACGCCGTCTGACTGTGGGTTCGTGCTTTGAAGTTTTCTTCTTTTTTCGCCATGTTGTTCCTCACCTGTCTCCCTCATCCATGATTAGCTGTGTCACTTTGCAGGCAAGCTATGAGGATAGGAATCTTTTAGCAGAGCACATGACATTGCCTCTCGTTGCATCATGACATCAGCATTATTTTCATGCCTTGGAAATGTTTTGAGGGGGATTCATCAGCGCAAGGTCCTCTGTTATCCTCCAGAATGTGGTTTCACTTGTTTGCAGAAGGAAACATGAGCACTTGGAATACCTGCGACTGTAGTAATAGGCTGTGTAAAGGAAAGGTAGAACTGTGGCTTTTCATTAAAATATAGCTCAGGTTTGAGGTGGTGAGAAGCCTCTTATATCAAGACATTTTTCTGTTTTTCTGCTGAAGAACATAATTATCACATTCTTTATCTTGATCCACTTAGAAAGGTAAGATTAATTGTACATTATCTTGCAGCTCTGGGTGTAAACAAATACGA